GCCCATGTTTTGGACTTTTCCTCCTCTTTGGACCCCGGGGGGGGGGGGGATGACAGAGGGTTTAAGAGTGCGGCTATCTTCATTTGGATTTGTACGACTGGTTCTACAGAAATAGCAAACGGGCTATACTTTTCTTGACATTGCATGTCTGGTGTGTAGAGAATTAAAATAAGGCCAATGCCAAGTCGATTAATGCTACCTGATCAACAAATGTCATTGTTAGTTTATCAACCCGGTTCCTGGTCTATTATATGATATTAGTTTACAGTCTGCTATCTGGACTGACACGACAATCTCACATGCACAAACATGTCGGTTTCATAATCAACTCGCTAAGGTTATATGAAATGGTTCGAGTTCAATATCTTCTCTTTTCTGCGATATCAACAACTTCCTAGTCTGTGATATCAGTTAGCTGGAAGCGAACGTTAACAGTCAGCTCACAACAACTACCTAGTCTGTGATATCAGTTAGCTGGGAGCGGGGGCATTACTTTGCCATCTGCCAACAACTACCTAATCTGATATCATCGAGCTGGAAGCGGACATTAACTTTTCATCTACCAACAACTATACTGGTCTGTGATATCAGTTAGCTGGAAGCGGACGTTAAATTGTCATCTTTCAACAAATACATAGTCTGTGATATCAGTTAGCTCATTAATTCCGGCCAATTTTTTTTTAAATTGTATATAAGGAAGGATGCAGAGTTCAGGGTCAATGCCAAGGACAGGCATCTTCAAGTAGACTCTTGAAGCCCGTCAAGTTTTTAAGGCCTGCATCTAAATCACACATTTTTTTCTAAAGAAGACCTTCATGACAAATAGATTGTTAAAAGCCAATGTCAAGTTCACGCATTGTTTGTTAAAGAAGACCCTCGTTTTAAATGGAACCATTGTATAGGGATTCCACACAGATCTAATTCAAACACGCTAGGTCAAATTCTTGAAAATGGAATAAAGGTAGTACAGTCCAATCTATCTTACGTAATTTTAGTCAGTTGCGTACTTTCACTGGTGCCGCCACTGCTTTTAGTAGCTTTTATTTTTACTGGACCACTTTGGTTTGGGTCTAACAACTTCTCTATGTAACTTTCATTCCGATTCACGACACCGCCAGCCAATCAAAGTCCTTCCCAACCTGCACTGGAATGATGTATCTCGGAATGGTGCAAGTTGTGTGTGTAAGTGCAATTTTAACCTGCCATTTATAAGTGTATCAGTAAGTGTAATTTGTATCTTCAAGTGTGATTTGTGGGTGTTACGAATGCTGGCTTTACACAAGTCTTTAATGAAAGTCGATTATGTTATCGGCTTCCTGTTGTTTGGGTCTACCCAGATAGAATACGCCTCTGACTGTGAAACCTTAGAGTTAATTTGCAAACTACAGACTTTTTAATTAATGGTTACAGTAAGTAATTATCTTCTATAATAGTTCATAACATTTTTTAATGAAGAAAATGCTGGTCTGATGAAAAAAGATATCATACAGTGCATCGTCTTAGGAGGAAAATAGACATGTAAGATTAACGATACAGTAGAAAAAAGCAGAAGCGAATCATGTCTGCATCGTGTCCGAACCCGTACCTCGTGTGTTCACTTATTTTATTTCCTAATTTTAATCCCGCACCACACATCGCACCACCCGCACCGCGCACCGCGCACCGCGCACCGCACACAATAGTTTGACACTCCTCCATTTTAGATCGATGGCTGCAATTCAACTACATTTATAAACCGGTAAACATATCAAAACACAGTTGCATCTCATTTTCTTTCCAACAGTTTGTACATTTTCACAAAGTTTGGCTATAACGTACTCCGTCTTATACCTTGACTTTTTTTAATACAATATTTGACATTGTGGATATGTAGTTTGTAATAGCTTGACATTGTGAAGATGAAGTTTGTAATATTTTGACATTGTGAAGATGAAGTTTGTAATAGCTTGACATTGTGAAGATGAAGTTTGTAATAGCTTGACATTGTGAAGATGAAGTTTGTAATAGCTTGACATTGTGAAGATGTTGTTTGTAATAGCTTGTCATTGTGAAGATGAAGTTTGTAATAGCTTGACATTGTGAAGATGTAGTTTGTAATAGCTTGACATTGTGAAGATGAAGTTTGTAATATTTTGACATTGTGAAGATGAAGTTTGTAATAGCTTGACATTGTGAAGATGAAGTTTGTAATAGCTTGACATTGTGAAGATGAAGTTTGTAATAGCTTGACATTGTGAAGATGTAGTTTGTAATAGCTTGTCATTGTGAAGATGTAGTTTGTAATAGCTTGACATTGTGAAGATGTAGTTTGTAATAGCTTGACATTGTGAAGATGAAGTTTGTAATAGCTTGACATTGTGAAGATGTAGTTTGTAATAGCTTGACATTGTGAAGATGAAGTTTGTAATAGCTTGACATTGTGAAGATGAAGTTTGTAATAGCTTGACATTGTGAAGATGAAGTTTGTAATATCTTGACATTGTGAAGATGAAGTTTGTAATAGCTTGACATTGTGAAGATGTAGTTTGTAATATCTTGACATTGTGAAGATGTAGTTTGTAATAGCTTGTCATTGTGAAGATGTTATGATATTAAATTGAAAATCGATTGACGGCTTGACTTTCTCAGCATAAACGCTGTTTTGAATAATATAATATCTTATTATTTGGCTGATTCAAATTTTCACATATATTTCGAGTTACGGTGTCTGGTGCAGTGTCCGGTGCAGTGTACGGTTCGGTGTTGTCGATACAGTAGAAAATAGAAGAAACGAATCGAGTCTGCACCGTGTCCGGCTGCGTACCTCATGTGTTAACTTCTTCTATTTTCGTCTGTGTCGATTATTTCGTACCGGACACCAGACCGGACATCATACCTCGTCTATTCCAACTGAATTAAAATGAGACCAAACTGTCTTTCCGTTTTTTATTTAGCTTTAATTTTTAATAAAGCCACTTCAGTGAGAGTTTGGTCTTTTCAATATGGCGGAGTCTCAAGAAAAGAAAAGACAAGTTGTCATTTTAACTTTAAAACGCGGATAATTCTGGAATAGAAGGCTCAAATTTCGACGGCGAGCTGTGAATACTATTAATAATTAGCTGAGCTATAAAAAAAAATATCCCGTTTCTGTTTAAGAGTCCCGATAAACGTGAATGTTAGGAATTTTATTAGCCGTCCTGTAAGTGAGCAATTCCAATTCTGAATTTTTGAATAGTTAATTATCAGTATAAAAGCGGGGTGCGTCTATTGACCGATCAACTAGCCCCATTAACCGATTTCATTACACCCGGTGGCAAATCGAATTGCTTTTAATCATATTTACCACTTCAAAGAATGATAGTGTTCATTAACTACCAACCAATATCAGTTGGAAGGTATCTGTTGACAATCATAAAAGTACAGGGATACTAGTTTTGTGAAGATGTGGTTCAACTTTTAAAGGGATTGTGAAGAGTTTGTTTTTTTTAGAAAAATTATGTGTATAGGGGACACTGATAGCACCGATTTGCACCATTCCAATTTTCAATCAGACGTCTGTGGCTCTTGAACAAACACTTAAACTTAAACTATGCGTTTTATGACGTCACAAAGGTTCTTATATATTATATCAATAGCACCTTTTGTTAAAGCGCTCACTTTAAATGTAATCGTAATAACCAGACTGAAAATTGGAATGGTGTTAATAGATACGATCTACAATCAGTTTCATCACAATAAATGAACCAAACAACATCAGAAATGTGATCGATGTGCATTTTCAGGCAAGACATAGACAAGGGCAGACAACTTTATTCTAAGGTATATAATAAATAGTAATTGAAACTATATCAGACAGACTTAAATAGCTTTCAATAATACTACTTAAAAATAAAGTGCCAGTTTTTGTTTTGAATCATAGACTACCCGAATGTGATCAAATATACAGCCAAAACTTGAATTCGAACGCATTTTGTGAATGAAGGGCAGGGGCGGGGGTCAGTTGGGGTAGAGGGGGGCATTGTCCCCTTAGAAAAATTTATTTTTAACAAATCAAAAAATATGTTTTTGCCCAAAAAAATTCGACTCGTCAATTTAAGATACTCTGTGATATATAGAAGAGATATAAATAGTAAGTAAAATTTCTAGTAAAGGAATTATGTGATTTTCATACATTTCAAGTACTTCTGAAGACTATTTACAAATATCCAAGACTAAAATCAACCTCCAAATATGGCGCAACTGTACCTTTATATGACAACTGAAAAATAGTTTAATTGATTTCAATAGATATGATGTCATCAACTCAAAGTATATATTTTTTAAGCTATGATAAGTATAAAAGAAAAAAAATGAGAAGTAAAAAGCGATGTGTTTAGAATTTAAATAATTTAAATATTTCTTTTAAATATATCAAATGTTAAATCTAATATTCTTCGTGCATGAAATGCCTTTTTTTTTTTACTTCCATTTTCCACTTTCACACGTCAAGTGCTAAAGTCATCTTCACAATGTCACGTTATTACGATATCCTTGACATCAGTCGGCATTTTTCATATCTCAAAGAAGTTTGTGATTTGATTGTGAGCTAGCGGTTACAACCAATCAGAGTCCTTGACAACGGCTGTGTAACTGCTAGTTATCGTCTGGGTTGTGAATTTAAGTTTTGATTAACAGAAGAAAATTTTACTTTTGAAATTATGAAGATGAAATTAAATATATGTTATTTACATTACGAGAATAGATGACCTCGTGGGGTTGGTTTAAAGGGACAAGTGCGCCATTTTTTTTACCACTCATACTTTAGTCTCAGAAACTGGGATTTTTTAGCTGTGCTAATCAATAACAGTGTTCACAGCTCACCATCGAAATTTGAGACTTCAAATCCATGTGTGTCCAGAATTATCTGCGTTTGAATATTAAAATGACGACTCGTCGTTTCAGACGCTTCATAGGAGGATGGCGTTTATGGCATTCACAGAAATATCGCATTTGAATTCCACATTGACTGTTACCGTTACACTCAACTCCCCGCAAATTTGAGTTAGTCTGTTCCTTTTTCGTACTGTCTCCGAGCCTTTCCGAGGAGCCAACTACAGATCCAGTTGTTACCAGATTCTACTAAATGCCGTTCAAAAAATAGTTACCCCCCACACCCCCTCTTTAGCCTAAATTGTACCCTCATTGGGAGAGTGTTCAGTCAATAAATCTAATTCTGTTAATTTGTTATTAGTATGGCAGTATTTCGTGTTGTCTGAAAATCTACAACTAGAAAGTGATATTGGATTTGTTAATTTGCATGACACGGAGTCGTTTGAAAGATTTCTCCGATTTTTGTCATGAGTAGAGTCAAATTCATATGTGTTCAGAATTATCCACGTTAAAAAGACGACTCGTCTTTTCTTGAGACTATATAGTTTATATAAAAAAAAATTAGAAATAGAAATTCCTAGTTTTATGTATTTTTGAAGGAATTATGGGATTATCGTAGATTTCTAGTACTACTGAAGACTATTTACATATATTCATGACCTAAATCAACCACAAAAAATGACGAATCTGTCATTTCAAAGTTGTAGTTTGCTTAATTTTCAGGGTATATTTCGAAGTATCTTTATCATAATCACAATGAAGAATTGGATAAAAGGCTAATTATGAGAAATTTCTGAAAAAATTTTGACCGATTTAGGTTCAGTGGATCGCTTTCTATCTCTACGGAAGTAATGGTACATTGGGAAACAGGATTTAGTTTTTATTAAGCTAGCATATACATTCTCTTTAAAGCATTTGTTTGAACTGCTCCTATTTCCCGTTTTTGTTTAGCATTAAACCCCGTGCACTATTATGTTTCTTTAGCAACGGTACGATGATTATCCAAATGTAGCCGTTGCTTGCACAATCGCATATTCCCTCAATATATTTTGATTGGTCGAGAATTTACTTCTAGACCAATTATATTACTTTCAACAACATTTTTCGGGAAAATGTTTGAATAACCAGACGCATGGTGTACTACAGGTTGTTCTCCGTAAGACTTTGACGAATTAAACCCCGTGCACTATAATGTTTCTTTAGCAACGGTACGATGATTATCCAAATGTAGCCGTTGCCTTCACAATCCCATATTCCCTCCATATATTTTGATTGGTCGAGAATTTACTTCTAGACCAATTATATTACTTTCAACAACATTTTGCGGGAAAATGTTTGAATAACCAGACGCATGGTGTACTACAGGTTGTTCTCCGTAAGACTTTGACGAATTTACCTTATTTATAAAGGGAAAAATTTCCTCTCATTGTCTATTGCATTGTCCAAATCAGGTGCAGAAAAATTGGACGTAAAACCCCACCATTTCATTTCAAAAGTACATCTTACCTTACATGGGCCCATATGACAATGCTGTTACCAATAACAGCAATCACCGCTACCGTAGATATAAATATTCCAATAGTATACTGACAGGCGGTGGACAATGGGGTTTGATTTTGCCAGTGTTGATGGAGCACGGAGAAATTAAAGTGATTGGTACTGCTATTTGTCCATACGTGTGAGGCTATACTCATTCTACATGTATGTTTACCTGCAATAACAAAAGAAATCGATGAAGTCTTAAAAGGATTAGTATTCTAACTTTTTTTTTAAATGTTTATCTGGGTCATTTTTAGCTTCTATTTTCATCATTTTCATTATTTTTGAGTTCATCTTATCTCATCTTTCAGATGTCTGTGAATAGTATATAGGTACGCTTCAACTCATAGGCCCTATGGCGTCACTATCACATGAGCGTTTGGCTAGCTACGTAATAAAACACCCACTTCATAGCAAGAACCACCGACGACTGACTAAAAATTGGAATGATTAAAACCTGGGAAGGGACTATATATAAAGAAGTAACTACTTAAGGTCGGGGGCATTTTTTGGCTGAATCCGGTTGCTTACAATCCAATCAAATTTCTGCATTTACAAAATTCCGTCATACAAGAAAAGTTTCTATTGCAAGACGCAGTTCATAATATCTTGATATTGTGAAGATACAACACCACAAGATTAATGCACACCATGACTGCAATAAATATCATCACGAATAGTAATCTATTTCTTTGTACTAAATATTAGTTTTATGGAATATAGGTCAAACTAATAAGAAAGAAAATTCAAGGCAGATATTCTATCACTAAACTATAATGATATAATTAAATCTAACAATCAGTTAATCATGACAAGTAGGGCATTTTTTATTAAAAAAAGATGGAATTCAATATTCTGCTAAATCTGATAAAAATCGAGATCAATTAAATTTGGAATTTCAGGATATCATTTATGTTCTATGACATCGTAATTTTTTCACACATAGGTTCCACTTTTCATATTGGAATTCTAGCATTTGAATAATATCTCATTTACTTCAAGCACAATTGACAATGACAATATAGATTCAATATATGGTCCACAAATTGTTGCAGTGATGTGGTCACAATATAAATTCGTCAAAGTGATGTGGTCACAAGGTAAGTTGGTAACAGTGATATGGTCACAAGGTATATAGGTCACAGTAATATGGTCACAAGGTAAGTTGGTTACAGTGATATGGTCACAAGGTAAATTGGTCACAGTAATATGGTCTCAAGATAAGTTGGTCACAGTAATATGGTCACAAGGTAAGTTGGTCACAGTGATATGGTCACAAGGTAAGTTGGTCACAGTGATATGGTCACAAGGTAAGTTGGTCACAAGGTAAGTTGGTCACAGTGATATGGTCACAAGGTATATTGGTCACAGTAATATGGTCACAAGGTAAGTTGGTCACAGTAATATGGTCACAAGGTATATTGGTTACAGTATAATAAACAATGAATGAGTCACAGTAAACCAATTTACCCACGTTTCTGAGACCAATTTATCACGTGAATGTGTGACCAATTTACCATGTGACCATTTCAATTTTCATCATGGTCTATTAGTACTGTGTATTTTTATAAATATAACACTTTCCCTGTGACTACACAACTGTGACCGATTTACAATGTACTTTTACGTATTTCCGAAGGGTTCGTAAGTGTTTTAACAAAATTATAATTTTACGCATATCCGAAAGGTTTACATTGGTCCATTGTCGATAATCGCGGGGTTTAAATGTATGGAGTTTTACGTCCTACTTTTCTGGACCATGTGGGAAATTTTGCCAGGACAGCGGCATTAACTAGCTCTTTTTCGATTTTCAAATGTCGAGGGATCTTTAACGTGCATAGCCTGTATCACACGGGGCCTCGGTTTATTGTCCTATCCGAACAACTAGACGCTTTTTCCATGTCAGCCCCTCTTACTTGCATCACTGACAGGGGGAAACCAGGTTGAAAAATCCGAAGGTATTAATTGGAATTTTGAGTGGCAAGGAATCATAGTCGCAGAATGTCATCTTGAAGTTGACTTGGATCAACAAAGTACCAGAAACAAATAAAACAATTATTAGCAATTATCACACCGAAAGTGTTCAAGGTCAGAATTTAGCGAGTACTATTACATTAACGAGTGTCACATCGAAACGTCATCTGAGGGTTGACCTGAGGTCTTGTTTGCTTGAATAGTATTTCTTTGATGTCACTCTCCAACTTGATTTGTCGACTCGACATCCTTTACAGAGAGTCCACATTTATATATATCACATTTATATATCGTCTTAAAAATTAATTCCTTCGACAATTTGACTCAAATACGCACTTGATAATAAAAATTATTCCTTGTATTGGCCAGGAGTATCTCTTTTTGGTGTAATAGACCTAATACTGACAAATGTAAAATAAAGAGTCTATGTTTTTCTCCATAGATTGAATGTTAGACAGGACCAGGCCACTTTGGTGTAATGAACCTAATTCTGACCCTGGTAAAATAAAGTTAATTGTAAATTAATAAAATTCACCTTCTTACCTTTCAAAGAAAAAACCGAATAATATCTCATTTCATTAAGCCAATTAAGAATATTAAACATAAAATAGTTTCACTGAAAAAGTCGACAGTACTCCACTCGTATGATAGTACATCTCCTAATATGTCGAAGTTTAAAATGAAAATAGTTTGACTTTATCAACACTCGGTATTCCTGTCACGGTATCGATTGCCGGCAAAATGACAAAAGTCGTGCAGATAGGCAGAAACACTAACTTTTAAATTTTAAAAGTACAAATGACACTTTTATCTGGCAGGATAACACATGAAATAATTATCTTGACAGTAACCTGTTGATAGAACACAAATTAAGATGACAGAATTGCTACCAATTTACACCATTCCAGTTTTTAATCAGACGTCTGCTGTTCCTGCAATTCTGCTAAAACTATTATCTGATGAAGACACGTGTTGTGTTAAAATGTTTTATCACTTTATTAAAAAAAATTGTAGGTGTTTGATTACGTCACTAACTCCAATATCACCTAAGGCCCTTATGTAAGTGAAGTCATCAAGCTCTTAGTTTTAGTGGAATTGCAGTAACCATAGATGTCTGATTTGAAATTGCAAATTGGTGCTATCAGTGTCCCCATTACACATGAAAATTTCAGAAAACCTCTTTACAATACCTTCAGCATAGATTCACCGGATGTTTCTTAAGCTTATATACCTATATAGCATTGTATCCCTAATACGGGTTTTATATATTTCTTCAGGGACCGTCTGATTTGAAAATTTATCTGAAGTTCTATTTTAATGAATTGATATCATGCTTTAGACATTTTAGAGGGTAGACCGAAACGTCTGCCTCTTTTCCAGACTATGATAGATATTTTGAAAGAAGTCGGCTGGTGTAGAGACAGAAAAACTAGGCCTTGTTTTGTAGAATTCTCCGCACCTCTAGCCTCTTCTCCAGCCGATAGCTGTCAAAATGTTTATCAAAGGCTGGAAAAGAGGCAATGTTTCGGACTAATCTGTGGGTTACTCTACTTTTATTTCTAGACTAAAATTACACTTCCGCCTTCTAAAATGTTCAGAAAAGAAATAATTTCTTCTAATTCATTTTTAAATATACTTCTATTAAGACATTAACCTCCACAATTTCAAGATTTTGCGAGCCCGTCTTATACCTTAACATCATTAGGCACTTTTCTTGCATCAAATTTGTAAATGATAATGCTGAACTGTACGTAGGCTTTGCCCAGCCACTCCCCTCCTCTCCACTCCTGCCCCCTGCTCCACTTCCCCAAACATTTTGTATTTTTTTTCATCATTATACAGAGATTTTCAAAAATGCTCTCACTAACATACAGTTTTAACTTTGCAAACTATATCTATGAAGTAATAATCAGCACAAACGGTGACTTTAAGAGAATACTTCATGATATTACTTGATTGATCTTGTTGTTTTGTTCTTTTTTTAGTCGAGATTTAAATGGAAACGATATTATAATCGACCTTTTAGGTCTATAAATTGTACACATAATAATTTGATAATGTTAACAACTTTAGAGAGATCTGATGTGGAATCTAATTTAAAACAAGAATCGACTTTTTATGTTTTCACAGTGCATCTGTACTTTTATGATCCACTTCTCCGCCATTCAACCTTAGCACTGTAAAACATCAAATTAGCAACTTTATGTTTAAACAACACACTTCAGGTGACTGTTTGCTATCTCTTTCAGGGGTCCACATCTCCCTTTCGTGTTATTAAAGGAGTGATATCAGCCATATTGCTTTGTAAACCTTGCTATCTACAACATGACGTCATAATCTCGCGAATTTACGTCCCTGACATAACAAAATGGCAGCCCCATGAACGAGCAATTTAGGCCAAAAATGACGCCAAAAGACTGTTACGTTTGATCCTGTTAGTACAGAATTAGCATTTTTCGCCAAGGTTTTGCCATCAGAAAACTTGGATTTCATTCATAATGCCAACTATTCCTTTAAAGGAACTGCAACAACTTCGTCTTGATAATTTTTGATATAAATAAATTGTCGCATTTTATAGATGAAGATAAATGGTCTTTGGTTTTTAACAGACCAAGATAAATTGTCTGTGGTTAATTCCATGTTTTTAATTTCAAAAGAATTACATTTAGCATTGTTTCTGACATTTCATGTATATTATCGCTGTTTAAACCACGCCATTAATTTATCAATAAAAATTTCAGTCGGAGACGTAGGCTTTGTCAGTGTGAACCCAATTCAGAATAATTAGGTTTTATAAAAGTGCGAATCTGGATATTTCGTTTCGTGTTTTTTCTATGGGTGACTCCACTTGCCATCCATGATCTGTCGAAATTGCTCTGTATCGTCTGTTCTTGGTCATATTATATTCAACGAATCAAATGATCTATGATAAAAGATTCCCTTTCCTATTTGTTGATTATTCTAGGATATTCATTTAAATACTGACTTGTAATGTCTATATTAAACGATGATTTTCTGTTTGTTAGCATAAATTAAATTTTAGTCGGATAAAATTAGATTGAACGCGATTAAGAATTTTGTCAGACACCCAAGGATTCCGAAGCCCTGCAGGCTGATGTGGACAACCTACAACAATGGGAGAAGGATTGGCAGATGTCCTTTAATCCAAGCAAGTTTGAGGTTCTACACATCACAAGGAAGAAGGCATCTACCAAGACCTACACGATTCACAACGAAGATCTCGCAGCAGCCAAGACGGGAAGATATCTAGGAGTTTCATTGACAGACAACCTTTCCTGGAATGCCCACGTAGACCAGACAACCAAGAAGACCAACAACTGTCTTGCTTTTCGAACCTGACAGCCTGCCCACAAGATACTAAAGCTCAGAGCTACAAGACACTAGTGGGGCCAATCCTTGAGTATGCTTAATCTGCATGGGACCCATATACTCAGATCATCATCACTCAGCTCGAAGCAGTTCAGCGACGTGCCGCAAGATTTGTGATGGGAGACCGAACGACAAGTAGCACCAGCCAGATGCTCACAGACCTAGGCTGGAATACCCTCCAACATCACAAAACCAACTCGAAGCTGGTGATGGTGTACCGCATTACAAATGGTCTCATTGACATACCAGGAGAGCTGTTCGTCCATCCTGCCAACCTGCCAACCTGCCATCCTGAGATTCGTGGTGCCATTTTGCAGAACAGATGTTTACCGTCACTCATTCTTCCCCTCGGGTATCAGACTGTGGAACCAGCTGCCAGCATCCATAGCTACTGCCAACACCCTGGAGGGCATCAAGAGTGACTTGGCATTCGCACCATTCATTAATCCTCTTTTACGTTTGCGCCTCACCACGACCTTGCAAAGTTTTCACCTTTGTACGACAATACCTCAAAGAAGGTCATATACAGTGTTAATGATTACAACAAACACTTATAACTTTAATTTCTTCTTTGTGGCACCTTTGACATTACCATTTTTTTAACTAATAGCTTTACACATAACCTCTTTTTTAACAAATAGAAAAATTTAATGTTGATATCGAGCTTTGTTCCCTTGCGAACATACTGGATTTGAAGAAGAAGATGGATGAGAAGTATAATAATCGAGTAAAGTCTCCAGTTATACTTCTGTAACGGAGAAACAATTGTAATAATCTGCTGCTAAAACATCTAGTTCTGCTAGATTAAGAATCGTTAAAGTGCATGGACAATATCAGTTTAGGAAATCTCTGTTCAGTATCTTTAAAGTATTGGGTTCTACTTACTTTAAAATTTAGTTGTCATGTAAATATACGTGCAGATGTTGAGAAAGGCTTACTATATTGTTAAAAGAGAGGGCATATTCCGCTTTCTTAGCAAAATTTGCCTGATGCTTTATCACGCTTCTTCATATCAGATGTAGAAAAGTAGGACGTATCGTTTCGAAATGTAAACATCTTTAAATTAAATGTATATCTTTCTGTATCAACTGCGGGGTTTTGTTGTAACATAAGAGAAAAAGAAATTGACTTGGAAAAATTTATTACAAATCTAGGGCACAAGTAAATATTCATTGTGAATTCAAACCGATTATTCATGTCTGATTGTTTTAACATATTTTTTACATTTTTACAAGGGTTAAGTCGAATATATATTTGCTTGGTAAACTAATAGAGCTCTGTTTGTAGATTTTCTTAACACTCGGCGTCTCTTCAAAACCGATAAATCAACGGGCTTGCACGAAACCATTTTTACGCTTTGTTTTGTGAAAAAAAAGCGTACATGCACCCAGAAAACTCATGTCTCGCTGGGACAAACCTGTCGTGTGCAATAAGATCATTTTGATAGTCTGTTGCGAAGCTATTTGTATAAAGTGATGCGCGGTCCCGTCTTTTCTGGATACTGGGTGTCGTTTTAACAAGATGTGAGGTTGTAACCAACGTATAGATTAGAGGTTGGTGTCATAGAAAAAGACAATCGTATCTACGGCAGCCATTCTCGCTACGCCTGACAATAACCTCGTATGCAACTGGCGGATACATTGGACTACTTTCAAATATTAGGTCATGTGACAATGAATTTTTGTCATGTAACTAACACCTGAAGGACTATATTCTGTAACGCGGATGTAACTTCCGCCTAACAATCATACAAAGCATACGAGGTAATTGTCAGGCGAAGCGAGAATGGCTGCCGTTGATACGACTGAGAAAAACATACTTCACTATATACGTTAAAAGAAAACGTCGCTGGGAAATGTTGCTACTTCGTGTTGTTATTCATCACCATATCAAGCTAGTATAACTTCGTATAATACCTTGAATTCAATAGCCACTTTTCTTGTGTCAGGGATTACAGTCATCGACAGACTGTAGACATACATTGTGGACACCAATCTTGTTGAGGACACTTATTTGATGCTAACGTCCAGTCGATCCAAAAGCGCAGCATTTACAAACTTCTGTAATACTAGCAAGTTGGCTATTGTAGTCAAGGTATAAGACGAGGTTACAATGGTTGTTATTGATATAGCTAATCATCAGTGTATTGGTCATTAGTTTTCCCTCCTTGGAGATTTTGAGGGTATCATTTTAGCACCTTGTCTCGTGGCGGTATAGTGTGAAGTATTGCTACCTTTATTAAATTATAGCCTACTGTAGATTTCCATCGTTTCTTATACCAATGTCTGGACTAATGAGCTCAGCAGCTTTCGTTTTTAACTATCGACTGAAATATTTTAACTGTACAACGAAGTACCATCTGGCATGTGGCTTGTGTCTTCACAATGGTCAAGCTAAGAAAAACTTATTCCTGGAAATCACTGAATGATGATGACAACAAATTCGACCACTGATACATTTTTAGAAGAAGAAATGGACATCGGGTTCTTTTTGAACATTTAAAGTAAAATAAGACAAAGTTGGTAATGACAAACATCGTTAAATTGCAGGGTATATAGTGTGGTATTACTGGTATTAAATTATATTAACTCACGATGAACATGATGAGACAACGCATTGACGTTCGATATTTATATATTTAGAATGAAAGTGTATATAACAGAACAATGACAGTGAACAGCAATCCTTATAAACATCGTCTGTTAAGATTATTGTCATTTTGTTGAACTATAATGTCTAACGCAGTTAATCTCATGGATATATAAACCTTCTCATGTTTGTTGGTACACCTACCAGGAAATTTTGCTAAAAGTGAATTTTGCTGAAAGTGAATTTTGCTGAAAGTGAATCAGTGTAAACTTGTTAAAATTCCTATTTCTATCAACATTTTTTAAACTGTCATTATAATACAGTTTAAAGCTATAATATTCAAAATTCCGATTTACCCACGCATTGGTGCTGAGAGTAGTTTAAAACGTGTATTGTGGGAACTGACTCGGGAACTATTTAATATAACTATTGTGACATTCCATCCAAATATGTCCAAATCAGTTATTTATGATTACGAACCTACCCACGTGAGAGAAATCCCTGACGTGATGTCGACATTGACAATGAACTTCGATATTTGGAAATAACAATCAGTCAAGTTCAAGACAGATATATTGCCTAATATTCTATTATAATTCACGCAGTAAAGACTCGTGAACTTTAGGGTAAACGTGATGTTTTATATCCCCACGCGTTTGTAAACTTTATAATTGAAAACAATAATGATATATCGACCGTTTTAAATTTGATATGGACAGCCTCTATATTACGATATTACAGATCATATTTATATCAGTAACTATAGGCGGAGGGGGGGAGGGGGGGAGGGGGGGAGGGGGGGGGGGTTGGGGCAATAGGGATAAAGGGGATTGCCCCCCCCCCCCTTAAAAAATTCTGACAACCAAACAATTCCATTAATGCAACTTAACATAATACACCATTGCCCCTCCGGATATATTACTTGCCCGTCCAGATATATTACTTGCCCCGTCCGGATATATTACTTGCCCGTCCGGATATATTACTTGCCCGTCCAGATATATTACTTGCCCCGTCCGGATATATTACTTGCCCGTCCGGATATATTACTTGCCCGTCCAGATATATTACTTGCCCGTCCAGATATATTACTTGCCCGTCCAGATATATTACTTGCCCGTCCGGATATATTACTTGCCCGTCCAGATATATTACTTGCCCCTCCGGATATATTACTTGCCCGTCCGGATATATTACTTGCCCCGTCCGGATATATTACTTGCCCGTCCGGATATATTACTTGCCCGTCCAGATATATTACTTGCCCGTCCAGATATATTACTTGCCCGTCCAGATATATTACTTGCCCGTCCGGATATATTACTTGCCCGTCCAGATATATTACTTGCCCCTCCGGATATATTACTTGCCAGTCCAGATATATTACTTGCCCGTCCAGATATATTACTTGCCCGTCCGGATATATTACTTGCCCCTCCGAATATATTACTTGCCCGTCCAGATATATTACTTGCCCCTCCGGATATATTACTTGCCCGTCCGGATATATTACTCGCCCGTCCAGATATATTACTTGCCCCTCCGGATATATTACTTGCCCGTCCAGATATATTACTTGCCCCTCCTAACAAACTATATCGATTTGTATCGATGTCTTTAATAATTGAGTGTTTTAGGATACTTCGTGGACGTGGACGTGGGCGTGGACTTAATTAGGTTTTGTCAGTCGTGTAAGCAAATAAACATTCTTTAGCTATGTGGACTCTCTGAAAGAGATGCTGAGTTGACAAACATAAATAATTAACATTCTAACGATTTTACCTGCGAGGACTCTCTGAAAGCAAACCTACATAATGTAAACAATTTTTAGCTATGTGGACTCTCTGAAAGAGATGCTGAGTTGACAAACATAAATACCAACATAATGATAAAACTTCAAAACCAAAGTCCTAACGATATTTATCTACGTGGACTGAAATTGTTAACAAACCGAGATACTAGCATTATTTGCTATGTGGACTCTCTCAAATTAAAAAATCCAAATTCATAAAACAAGTCATCTTCACAATATCAAGCTCTTACGAAATACATTGACATTGTGAAGATGGAACCAAGTTTAATATTCACTATATGGCCTCTGATAGTGGCGAGATGACAAACCTAGAAACTAAGTAAACATTATTTACCTATGTGGATTCTAAAAGGGAAAACATTAGGTGCTCTGATAGAGGTGCACACCCTGCCTCAGTAGCGATACGCGGCAGAAAAGGGTCTGGCCCGGTTCTGCCCTCACTATCAGATTCGGCTTTACGGAAACTGTAGAGGATTTCCGAATGACAGAGAGATTTATGAGAAACTGTTAATTGACTCGATGTTCTTGGGTTTACTGAGGTTAATGCGGAACTAAAACTAATAATCATTTATAAAACTGTTATTATTTTATATAGGTTAAATCCATTACGTTTCTTCATAGATCATCAAGTTGACTCTAAATAATACTAATACTACCGACGGCATTGAGAGACAGGATGTTTCGGTCTAGTTTCTTCAAAATGGCAGATATACCATAAAGAAACTAAAATTTATGGCCGAGACCGATTAGATTTATTTTCTATTTTTAGTTGCCAATTGTAAACTTTTTGTTAACCGAAAATTTGAGAAAATATATCGCGTATCTGGACAAGCCTATTCAAGTCAAGGGCAATAACTCCAAAACACGTCTCGATGGCGTTCACAAGCCGATTGGGGACGGACAGAGGTGATGACAATATTCGTTTCCAAATTTATGGACGTGGTCGTATAGAAACATGAATTATAGGCCTAAATCATAGGCTAGTAGGCTATTGCTTTTTCTTGCTCGAATAGGCTAACTGTTTTACTAGATGAAGATACCTATCCGTGTTATTAGCTAGTTATTTTATTTTCGATGAAGGCTAAGTAAAACTGTAATCTATAATATCTTATTAAAAAAATTGATTTGAAGATAGATAGGCCTAAATGAATAATTTGTAAACTGTTTCGACTCAGCTATATTATAACGACACACTGTGACAGAACGCGCACCTGTTGTTGATTTATCGACTAGTTTAGACTTCTGCCAATCCCATCATGCCTTCCGGTGCGCTTTGTGTATGATCCCTTCCCGCGGGAGTGAAACTGGGGAAAAGTTGGGTTTGAAGGGTCGAAATGAGACCCAAGAAGAAGGAACGGGAGAAGAAACAGCCTGTGGAACAAGAGCTAGAAACAGTCCAAGCCGATCACGAACAGTTTTTACAAGCGTTTGAAAGTAAGAGTTTATTTGTCTCATTGACACAGTTTTTTTCACTTGACTGTCTCGTTCATTAGAAAATGTGTCAATGCAATAATAATAATAACAAACGTCAAAACATTCCTTTTTAGGCCTTACCGGTTGCTTATAGGCCCAAATAAGGCTTGAACAATATTTGATTTTAGACTAATATATGTATGTCATTAAAAAAGGTAAGGATTTGAGAGGAAAAGGTACATAATAAGGCCTCAGACAGACAAAAGTGAGAAGGAAAACTTGATGCTAAGAGACAAGGAAAGGTGAATAAACTCTTACATTCACGAGGTGTAAGCTAGACATTTGCTGTACTTGATGATAGAGGTTCTACCTTTGACTCTGGTCTCTATCATTGCTCTTTTCAGAGCTGTAAAATACACAGATGAAGAGAGGTACATACAGGCAGAGGGGGCAACCACCTTTTTGATTTTTTGCACCATTCACCGATATATCGTGCCAGCACTACTAGGTGGTTAGGTTCAGTGTTGACGAACTACACTTTGCTATTAAGTAATATTTTTTGTCTGTGTTTTCAGAGCCTACGCAGATATATAGGTATTTACGGACAAGAAATGTAGTGTTGGTAGGTAGACCCTTAGATTTCTTTCTAGACATTAAATACCTGTCAGTGACTCTACTGCAGGTTCGATTGGTTCCAAAAAATCGGCATATGGACGAACAAAGGTCCTTAAAGCTACAAGCTGTGCATATAAGTTTCACAAGGTGAAAGTTGTTTAGATGATAGATTAGATACAGTTATGACTATGGAACATTTTGCCTGATATTAGTTACAAAACCACCATTTTGAAACTACTTATTAAAGAGACAGATGCACCAATTTGGGGGGTTGATTTTAATCTTAAATATATGTAAATATAGTCTACAGAAGTAGTAGAAATGTATAAAAACATTGCATAATTCTATAAAATATACATCAAACTAGACATATATCTTTTCTATATATGATATTAACATTCAATCGCAGATAATTCTAGACATGCATGGAATTTAAGGCTCGAATTTTGATGGTGAGCTGTGAACACTGTCACTGATTGGCTTAGCTAAAAAAATTCTCGTTTCTGAGATTAAAGTATGATTGATGAAAAAATTGGGCATCTGTCCCTTTAAGAGCTTTGTGTGTGTTAGGTTGGGTATAAATTGCATATCTGCAACAGAGGACACTTCCCAATTATAAAATACACCATAATATACCCACAAATCAAATGGACAGCACTGTTTGGACCCTAACCTAGAAATATTATTGGATAGGTAAAACTGTGTTTATAAAGCACAAATGAGTTATAATAAACGTTACATTAAAGGGGAACAGTTGGTATTTTTAGGGATTGATTTGGGTCTTGAATTTGCTTTAATAGTTTTTAATAGTACTAAAACGCACAAAAACCGCATAATCCCTTCAAATATCGCTCAAACTAGAAATTTCTATACATGTGTTTTCTATATGGTATAGTCTCACTAAAATTCCAGTCAAATTTTTAACTTTCAAACGTGAATAATTATGGATACACATGGATTTGAAAGCTAAAATTTCGACGAGCTGTGATCACTATTACTGATTATGTAAGCTAAAAAAATTCCAGTTTCTGAAACTAAGGTATGATTGGTCTAATAGATAGTGAAGGTGTTCCTTTAAGTAGAAGAATCTGATATTTTCAATATTTTATATTATAGCCAATATTCCTGAATAGAAACTTGTCGTATATGAATGAATTCAGATCAGTGACAAACGCTAAGAGGTAATTATCTTTTACTATGTATTTTCAGGGGTTAATTTGGGTCTTGAATATATGTAAATAGCCTTCAAAAGTACTAGATATGTACAAAAATAGCATCATTTCTTCACTTTCTTTATCTATATATGGCAAAAGATCAAGGCAAGACAAGTCGTCATTCTAGCTTTCAAACTTGACATTTTTTGATGGTCTTATTTTGTGTTTTTAGGAAAAGTTTTCAAGCGGATTGTTTGTTAGAACGAGTGATACGTAAAAACAGTCATGTGACCTCACAGCAGACGTAAGTGTCATATTTTTATTTTAAGATTAAATCTTGCAACGGATCTTGCTTGATAAATGTTTCAATGAATCCTTAGATCTGAAAATTCGATGGAATAGAAGATATAGATATTGTGAAATACGCACAATACAATGTTTTTTATGATGGTCCAAACAAAATATTGCAATATCCACTACCTTAAGTTGGTATGTTCTCCATCTTTCTTAGTTTAATTTGAAACAAATTTGGGTATACAAGTATCTAGTAAAAATTAGTTGCAGCTAATGAACTTTTCACATGAGGAAGTATATCAATTATAAGTGAGTATTTCATAATGAAAATAAAAGAAGTGTCAGATGTCTAGAACAGTAAGGTATAACTCTTTGATATGTAAGGACATTAAAGATTTTAACACAATTTACACAATTCGTAAGATATCATAATTTATGCTTTGTGTTCTTCTGTGGTTTACACCTCTAAATTTGATATAAATCTTTCAGGTACAAGTCTGACTATTTAAATATAAATGTGAAGGGATTTTTTGATAATGATGGTAAGTAATTTATATGGCCTTATTAAATTCTAACTGTGCTAAAAACCAGATTTTAAGAAATATAGTTATCTGGGTCCTTAATCAAGAAAACTTGGTGAAGACAAGATCTTAATTTCATGAAATCTGGTTATCTGATTGGGTAAAAAAAAAAGTTGAAAGGACTCGATTGTACATTTAATCAATCAGATGGATGGAAAACTTTAGTAAGGATTTCTGTACACTTTGGGCTACTGAATTACCAGCCGCAGGTCAAAGGGAAATAAAAACTGTTACATACACCTGTTAAAGACTGGATAAAGTATGCTGGTCATCTATTGAGGCTGACACGTATTTACCGATTTTTTGATATAATGCTCTACGATTTGTCAACAGCGTCAAATTATAGAGGATGTATAATCAGCACACACTTACCGGTTTTTTTATCGCCGCTTGGGTGTTTCGATCGGCTTTTTTAGAGAGCTACAGTAAACAATATGTCATCCAGAAGTGAATTCTATTGGTTGACCTTTAACTAGGTCACGACAATTTATTGGGAACACCCGCACACTAGCCAACAAGGCGCGTCAGGACGCCTTTCGATCAAACATGCCAGATATCCCTGGTCACCCTGGATTATACCATAGAGCTGTCATTGACCAGCGCACTCCGATGGGCTTAAAAAAATCGATAAGTGTGCGCCAGCCTATATCAGTTTGTAAGACAAATATTTAGATGAAGATATCCCTTCTAGCTTAATTTTTATGATTTTTTTTTTCAGTTAATACATCAGAGAATGTTGAGGTTGAGTTTATTCTATTAAAAGTTTGCCACAAGAAAAGAAAGGTGAGATATGTGTGATTGTGCTGCTTTTCTCTCTAGTTCATCCTAGAATGGTTTCTAGAATTATAGGCTTGATTAATATTTTATTGAAGTTGAAAATATAAGTGTCTTAAGAGATATTTTTCTACCTAAAAGGCTTTTTAAAAGATACTATTAAAAAATGGAAGTGTTATTAAAAAAAACTGATACATATTTTAAGTTTTTTTCTTATATAAAGGAGGTATCAAAGATGGGTTCCTTACTTTCATTTATGAAAATGCTAATGTTTATATGAATAGAAAGTAAAGGTGTTCTAATGATGTGGAAAAATACCAGTTTGTCTCACATGTCCATAATTAATTCATAATTAGCTAAATTAGAAGAGAATTACCAGCAGAATTCTAATGAGTGACCGATCAAGAAAGATCAAAAAGTATTTTTTTGTTTATCCAGACTGTATATACATAGACATTTACGATTGGTTAAAACTCTTAATTATATGCAATAAGAATATAATGATATGATTAAGAATATCTGATAATTTGTTAAACACCAATGTTAATCCAGCTTTGTTAAGGAAAATGTATCCAGTTGTCAGGATTGGACAATAAACCGAAGCCCTGTGTGCTACAGATTCCTTGACAGTTTGAAATTTAAAAAGAGTAGGCTTACACCACTGTCCTAGCAATACCTCTTGTTTCCCATCTACATTAGCCCACTCAGGTGCTGAAAAGTCCATTTCATTTAGTTAAACCCCATCTTTTTCAGGATGTGTCACTGCCTGTGATGCAGACATGTTTAGGACGAGTGAAGACAGCGTTAAACCCATGTGATACTGCTACATCAACGCCACCTATAGTCATTTCTGCTGATAAATTTAATCATAATAATGGACATAGTATACGATCGTTTGTACTTATCGTCAGAGTAACGTGTCCAATCAGTAAAGGTTTAACTAATGGATTGTGCAATGGTGATATTACAGAGGAAGGTAAGGGCTGATCAACTCGACTAATTGGATTGAAATGCAAATCTGGGCTAAAGTCCCAAAACGATATAAAAATTTGTCTTAAGTGCAGAACACCAAAATTCTGATTAACAGAACAATATGCATTCTGATCAGAAGATTTAGAAAGAGCTCGAGTTCGAACTTGATATTGTGTTGTGTTTCATGTATGGACATGCAAGATTTTATTAAAACAGGACAAAAACTATAGATTCTGGGCGTCGTTGCTGACAATGAACATCCACATTGAGAGATTATCAGCAATTAAGTTACAGTCTAACTTGGTCTAACGGTCACCTGTATTCAGCACCACCCTTTAATGAATGGCCACCAAAAATACATCCAGTGCAATTTTCAACCAAATTTACCTCTATTCAACACCACCCTCTTGACTAGACCAGCGGTCGCCATTTTCTTTGTTAAATCTTTTCCAAACGCAGTCTAAGTTTTAAATTCCTATGATTTTGATTTTTCAGAGGAGCCGCCGGTGAAGAGAAGGAAGAATGGACATAACGGTCATCTAGAATCAGATTCTGTGGTATATTGTGCCGAACTAGTCATATATGATAAAAATAAACGATGTTTATTAACAGATGGAGAATATGAATTGTTGCTACGCGAACAAGGACTGAAATCCATGCAGAAGAAAAATGCCACGTGGGAAACAGTTGTAGATGGAAAGGTGGGGTTGTATTCTTTTTTTCTTTTTTTCCTTCTTTTTAATCAGAAAGTTACTTGGCATGTAAAAAATCCCCTGACAGTTGGAAACTGTCAGACTAATGACTCTGTCCTGGCAAAATTTAACTTATTACTCATAGAATGGCCCATCCTCATTAGCTGCAAACAGCCTTCGTTAAAGTTGCGCTAGCGCTCTGCAACATATTATGGTAATAAATGTCATTATTATCACGTGATTCGGTTAATTTAAATATTAGAGGCTGGTCATTCAGGACTACAAGTGTTTGTAAACAAAGTCAGTGAAAACAAAAATTTCATAATGTATTCAAAATGATAATAAAATGTATCATTGGAAAACCAATAGTCAAAGTATAGCATTAAATTCATATGTAAGGGTCAGCTTATTCAGCTTATGGAAACCAAATGCATGAGCTGAAATGAGGAAGTCTCGTGTGTGAAAAATGTTTAATTGGTTAAAAGTCACTGCCATATCCAAAAATATTTTCATAAAGAACATTTCATGCATGTCCTCTATCTGATGCAGTTTAGTTAATTCTTATGCATTCCCTCTCGTAAGAAAAATGGAGGTTTGATTTGTGAAATTTCATTGCCATATACGAAACCAATTCATGTATTTTCTTTTTCGTATTTTGCAGTCTATGGGACCATATGAAGTATTCAGTAATCGTCCAACACTGAAGTTTGATCTAGTTTGGACACCGACTGTCGAAGAGAATGGTCACCATGTTTGTACTAATAGCAGTGAAAATGAATTTATTACCAATAACCAACTAGCCAGTCACATTGTTGACACTCAGATCTCAGGTAGGTTACGATGTATTACCTGATTAAAAATACCAGCCCATGTTTTTTCTTATGTTGAAAGATCTGTTGTTGACAATTTTCTGAAAAAAAAACTTTAAAAAGAGATACAAATAACTGAAATTGAGCTCTATCAGCTGATAAAGTTGATATATAAAGGACTGTAAAAAAAGCTGGAATCGAGCTTGCAAAATAAATAATATAAATAGCTTAAATTGAGCTCTATCAGCTGGTAAAGTAAATATTTAGATGACTATACAGATAGCTTAAATTGATTTCTATCAGCTGGTAAAGTAAATATTTAGATGACTATACAGATAGCTGAAATTAAGTTCTATCAGCTGGTAAAGTAAATATTTAGATGACTATACAGATAGCTGAAATTGAGCTCTATCAGCTGGTAAAGTAAATATTTAGATGATTATACAGATAGCTGAAATTGAGCTCTATCAGCTGGTAAAGTAAATATTTAGATGATTATACAGATAGCTGAAATTGAGTTCTATCAGCTGGTAAAGTAAATATTTAGATGACTATACAGATAGCTGAAATTGAGCTCTATCAGCTGGTAAAGTAAATATTTAGATGGTTATACAGATAGCTGAAATTGAGTTCTATCAGCTGGTAAAGTAAATATTTAGATGGCTATACAGATAGCTGAAATTGAGCTCTATCAGCTGGTAAAGTAAATATTTAGATGATTATACAGATAGCTGAAATTGAGTTCTATCAGCTGGTAAAGTAAATATTTAGATGACTATACAGATAGCTTAAATTGAGCTCTATCAGCTAGAAAAGTAAATATTTAGATGACTATACAGATAGCTTAAATTGAGTTCTATCAGCTGGTAAAGTAGATATTTAGATGACTATACAGATAGCTTAAATTGATCTCTATCAGCTAGTAAAGTAAATATTTAGATGACTATACAGACAGCTTAAATTGAGCTCTATCAGCTGGTAAAGTAAATACAGATAGCTGAAATTGAGTTCTATCAGCTGGTAAAGTAAATATTTAGCTGTTTATACAGATAGCTGAAATTGATCTCTATCAGCTGGTAAAGTAAATATTTAGATGATTATACAGATAGCTGAAATTGAGTTCTATCAGCTGGTAAAGTAAATATTTAGATGACTATACAGATGGCTGAAATTGAGTTCTATCAGCTGGTAAAGTAAATATTTAGATGGCTATACAGATAGCTGAAATTGAGCTCTATCAGCTAGTAAAGTAAATATTTAGATGATTATACAGATAGCTGAAATTGAGTTCTATCAGCTAGTAAAGTAAATATTTAGATGATTATACAGATAGCTGAAATTGAGTTCTATCCGCTGGTAAAGTAAATATTTAGATGACTATACAGATAGCTTAAATTGAGCTCTATCAGCTAGAAAAGTAAATATTTAGATGACTATACAGATAGCTTAAATTGAGTTCTATCAGCTGGTAAAGTAAATATTTAGATGACTATACAGATAGCTTAAATTGATCTCTATCAGCTAGTAAAGTAAATATTTAGATGACTATACAGATAGCTTAAATTGAGTTCTATCAGCTGGTAAAGTAAATATTTAGATGATTATACAGATAGCTGAAATTGAGTTCTATCAGCTGGTAAAGTAAATATTTAGATGTTTATACAGATAGCTGATATTAAGTTCTATCAGCTGGTAAAGTAAATATTTAGATGACTATACAGATAGCTGAAATTGAGCTCTATCAGCTGG